AAAAGGGAAGAGGTGGGGAGAGGGAAAGGAGGTAAAATGTGGGAAAAGGGAAGGAGGGAAACAGTGGGAAAAGGGGAAGAGGGAAGAGGTGGGAAAGGGAAGGAACCCAGTGGGAAAGGAGCAGGATTCTTCCCACTTCCCATTTCCCCCCCCCAGAACTTCGAGGCCGAGGAGGAGCTGGTGGAACTTTCTTTCTCCAAGAACGGGGAGGAGCTGGGGGCAGCCTTCAGGATCCCCAGGGCTTCCCTGGCCCAACGGGCCCTCCTGCCCCACGTGCTGTGCAGGGGCTGCGTGGTGGAGCTGAACTTTGGGCAGAACCCTCAGCCCTTCTTCCCAATCCCTCAGGATTTCCTCTTCATCCACAACGTTCCCGTCGAGGATCGAGTCCGAACTCCCCTCCCTCCCAAATCCACAGAGGAATGTGAGGTCAGGCCCCTTTTCCTGAGCCCCCAGGAGGGAATTCTCAGCTTATTCCCACCCTTTGGAGTCTGTTTTAGTTCTTTTTGGTTTGATTTTCTTCTTTTTCTCCCCCTTTTTCCTGCTTCTTGCCCAGGTTCTGTTGATGGTCGGGCTGCCGGGATCTGGGAAAACTCAATGGGCACAAAAACACACCCAGGAAAACAGGGAGAAAAGGTTTAATATCCTGGGAACAGAAACTGTTCTGCACCAGCTGAGGGTGAGTGGCAGCAATTCCCATGGGGAATGGGGAGCCCAGTTCCTTCCAGAGCAGGATTGGGCAGGATTGGGGATCCCAGTCCCTTCCTGGGGCAGGAGTGGGGAGCCCAGTTCCTTCCAGAGCAGGACTGGGGATCCCAGTCCCTTTTTGGGGCAGGATTGGGGAGCCCAGTTCCTTCCAGAGCAGGACTGGGGATCCCAGTCCCTTTTTGGGGCCGGATTGGGGATCCCGGTCCCTACCTGTGGCAGGATTAGGGATCCCAGTCCCTTCCAGAGTAGGACTGGGGATCCCAGTCCCTTCGTGGGGCAGGACTAGGGATCCCAGTGCCTTTCTGGTGCAGGATTGGGGATCCCAGTCCCTCCCTGGGGCCGGATTGGGGATCCCAGTCCCTCCCTGGGGCCGGATTGGGGATCCCAGTCCCTCCCTGGGGCCGGATTGGGGATCCCAGTCCCTCCCTGGGGCCGGATTGGGGATCCCAGTCCCTCCCTGGGGCCGGATTGGGGATCCCAGTCCCTTCCAGGGGCCGGACTGGGGATCCCAGTCCCTCCCAGAAGTCTGGAACCCCCCCCATTCCCCACCAAACCCATCCCGGGGTGGGACACGAAGGCCTTGGGAGCCTCCCCGGGTTCCTGGAGCCTTTTCCTGGCCCTGATTCCCAGCCCTTCCCTTCCCTGGCAGCCGAGGGGCCCGGAGGTGGAGGAGCTGGACGCCCAGAGCCGGGACCTGCTGCTCCAGCAGGCAGCCCAGG